TCTCTCTTTCTCTCTCTCTTTCTCTCCCCCTCTCCCTCTCCCTTCCTCCCTCCCTCCCCCCCTCTTCTTGGAGAAGTTGAGTAACTTCTCCCAGGCCTTGTTGCATTCTCTTTGTCTTTCTGCGACAGGATTTCACTATGCAATTCAGGGTGGCCTTGAACTCAGTAGCTCAGCCTGACCTCAAACTTTCAACAGGCCTCCTGAGTACTGGGATTATAGGCATGCGCTACCATGCCCAGCCTGTCTTGCCATAGTGTGGGCATACTCTTTCCAACTTCTACTGAGATCCATGCTCTTATCACTAGGTCTAAGTTTCTACCGCCTGAACCAAACATATCTTCTCATCAGTCATCATCCTTCCAATTTAAAAGCTTTTGCCGAGAACCCAGTGAGTTTGGATCTTGAGCTGGTCACGGCATGGACTTATGAGGTGTCAGACCTAGAGCCTGCCTGGCACTCTGAGACATGTCAGTGTACTGCAGATAGGCAGAGGTTGGAGCCACAGATGTGAGAGCTGTGGAAAGATACTGGCTCCCTATTACTTAGGTGTCAGGGTCTCCTGAGAGCTGGGTCAGGATGTACAGAAAGAGGGCTAAGGCACCATGACGATTCTCAAGTGAGAGTTCACCCTGGAGAACAGAAAAATTTGGATCTGGAGGATCCAGGGGAAGAAGCCTGCGCCAAGTAGGCGGCCCAGAGGTGACATGGAGAAGGAACAACCTCATTTGTCACGGTGCCCCCTACCTTGGCTCAAGGCTAGAACAGCAGAGGCTACTTAGTTCTCTTATGCCAGTTCCACCCTCTCCTAGTGCTGAAGATGGTCACTCTTCCTCTGTCATCCAAAGCTCACAACAGACCACAAAGGACTGGGCATCCTCCAGCAGAAGCTCAGAGCAAGGGGAGGTTGAACGTCAGGAGGGAGGGCAGCCACTTCTGCTGCCATCGCCTTTCCCCCACTTCCACCTCCTTCTCTGGAGATCCTCGGTCATCCCTATTACCTCCTCAGTTTGCCAAAGGTTACTATCTCCCGGAGAGGAGCTCTGTAAGAGGTTGATAACAATCACATCTCCAACTGTGATTAAGGCCTAGACTTTGGAGCCAGATTCCTGAAGTGGAACTAAGTGCTGTCTCTAGCTAGGTGATTTTGGGCATGTAATTTAAGCATTCTGTGCCTTGGTTCCCTCACTTGGAAAATGGGGATATCACTGCCTATTTCACAGGACTTATGAGGATTCAGTGAGTAAAGCTTTGTGAAGTGTTTAGCTCTGGGTCTGGCACACACGAAGCACCACAGCGTTTGTAAAATAAGTGAAATATGCTGTGTATATGCTCCTTGGCTATTAATGCTCTGTGACAAGGTAGCCCTACCAACAGTTCCCCTGCTCATTTATCCTTCTGGGATAAAATCAGTCAGTCAATCAATTGAGCTATACCACTCCAGTTTTAGCATTGTTTTGCACCTTACCAACTCTGATGATTTCAGTGGTACATGATAAATGCTGCTTAGTTCAATATTTATTTGTAACATTTTTATTTATTTATATTGGGGATCAAACTTAGGGTCTTGGGCATGTAAGCATGTGCTCTACCACTGAGCTAGAGTCCCAAGACTTTTTTTTTCCCCCAAGACTTTTTTTTCAAGACAGAATCTCATTAAGCTGCCCAGGCTGGCCTCAAATTAAGATTCTTCTACAGGAGGACCAATGTGAGTTGAAGGCTAGACTTAGTTACATAGTAAGTTCAAAGCCAGCCTATACTACAATGTGAGATCCTGTCTCAAAAAATAAAAAAAATAAATAAAAAATAAAAAACTTAAAGAGTCTTCTGCCTTAGCCTCTGGAGTAGCTGAGATTATAGCTGTGGACCACAGTACCTGGCATTATAACACATTTTAAAAAGAAATATAAATAGAAAGTCATACCTGTGGTTGAGTTCATATTATTAGTTAAGAAAAAAAATGAGTAGACTGACAGTAGTTAAAAAATATGAAGTTGGGCCGGGGAGATGGCTCAGTAGGATAAGCGTTTGACTGGCAAACGTAAGGATCTGAGTTCAATCCCCGGTTCTAAAAAAAAAAAAAAAAAATATGAAGTAAACAGTAAGTGGAGGTAATGGGGACTTTCTCACAAGGGCAGTTAGGCCTGGCTCAACATCCACCTTTGGGGAGTGGGGGGAGGCCCTGGGAGGTTTGCTTAGCAGACAGGAGCAAGGCGAGGGACTGAGACCCAGACCTGGACTCCGTCCCTCAAGGTAGTAGCAGACAGGACTCGGGCTGACTTTTCCCATTCCCCCACCCATGTCCTGAGGCAGTATTTCCTCCCTTCCTACCCTATTTTCTCCTGCTGGAAGGAAGCATTCACCCCAACCCCCTTCCAGATGGATGCTCCGGAGAATCTGCCAATCAGGCACTGACACCAGACAATCATCACCATACTGGGAGTCTGCACTCCAGGGTAAGAACAACAACAGAAGCCAGAGTACTAAGGATCTACCTAAGGTAGTACTGCTGGCTTTACAAAGCACTCACACACACACACACACACACACACACACACACACACGCACGCGCATGTGCTCATTGATGCTGAGTTCCGGGACAGAAGGTGACAGCAAACATGCTAGGCAGAAGACAGAAGGTGCTTGCCTCCTGGGGCTGGAGGGCTGGGGTCTTGCCAGAGCAGCCAGACTAATGAACCCAGCGAGGGGAGGAAGAAAGGTCTCTCCTAGCTCTGGGGCCTCAGCTGCAAAAAACAGAGTAGGCCTCAGGCTAGGGCTGGAGCTGCAGGCCTAGAGGACCAGGCAAGGCCTTTCCCCTCACCATGGCCTCCAGGCCCAGCGCCCAGTTAGTGCGGGGCAGGCAAGTGTGGGGGCCTCCCCCGCCTCTAGTCCCCCCCAGGAGTTGGGAGTGTGGTGGGGTGTGTGTGTGTGCGGCGCGCGAGTGTGTGTTTGTATCAGCCAGGCTCCCCCTCCCAGGCCAGCTGCTACAGAACCTTCTGGGTCTGGCATTCCAGCCCCTCTTAAAGGGGCAGTGGCTACTTCCATACTGCCTGTCTCAAGCCCTATGGTTGGGCAGAAGGGAAGACCCCACAAGGAAGGGCCAAATGGAGAACACCAAGAGACTCTTCCTGGCTCTCCCATCCAGGCTGGAAGGTTCTTTCTTGAGCCAGCAGCTGGAGGAAAAATGTCCCAATTTTGTGGGGAAATCAGCACCTAGGTTAGTAGAGCGTCCTCTTAGGGTCAGCCTCACTGCTCCCTCAACAACACCTTGATCAGCTCACAGGGAAAATGAGGGGGAGCTAAATAAACACCAGGTCTGCACACCCTAGCTTCTAGCCTGGCATGGGGGCACCCCAACTTTTTCTCTCTGTTCAAAGTCTCACAGATAGCCCTCAAATGCAGGATACTCCAAAAATGGCTCTGAGTTATGGAGCAGCTCAGTGCCAAACACCCCAAGTCTACGCAGAAAAGGTAGTTCCCTTGGAAGGAGGAGGGGTGGGGACTGTGGCTTTGGGACTGGGTGGAGGGGGTGTGTCTAAGTGGGCCAAGGCTTGGGGAAGGGCGGGAGGAGGGGGCTCGCCTGGAAGGAACTCTGATTGCCGGGGGCCGGGGGGAGCCCCAGTCCTCTTAAACTGGAGGGCGACAAGAGGTGAATGGAGAGTCACTGGAGGAGCTGGAACCACAGCGCCCGCCCGAGGAAGCCCTGGGGAGGGCCCCCGGGCCCCGCGGCCCCGCGGATAGGGGGCGCCAGCGCCGCGAGGGAGGTCAGGGAATGGGCCCGGGCGCCGGGGGCGGGGCGGGGGCCACCCTCACCCGAAGTCGTCGTCCATAGACTTGAAGAAGAACTTGTAGCTGGGTCGTTGCAGCACGCCCTTAAAGTCCGCCAGGGTGACGCGCTCGGCTGGCAGGGGTAGCTTCACCAGGTACGGCGTCTCCTGCCCGTCCAGGTGGTAGATGATCTTGGTCTCGCCCATGGCTCCGGCCTCGGGCCCGGCGGCCCACGCGCGGCCTGCTCGGGCGGCCGGGCCGGGCCTCTCGGACGCCGGCTGACGGCGGCGGTGGCAGTGGCGGCGGTGGCGCTCGGCTCGGCCCAGTGGCTCAACCTAGCTCGGCGCCCGGCCGCGGCGCCAGCTCCCTTGTTCTCCGGCCGCCCCCGGGTCCCAGCGCCGCCTGCCGCCGCTTCCGCTGCCCACTCTGTCGGCTGGGCTGGCGACCGCGACTCTTCCGGTGGCCGCGGCCCTCCCGGCTCTAGGCTGCGGCGCGCCGCTCCCCTCCCCCGCCCCGCCCTGAGCCGAGGCCCCGCCCCCGTCCCGGAGGCCCCGCCCCCGTGGCCACCCCGCGGGGCTGGCCTCATCGCAGATGGCCCGACCCAGGCCACTCGGCGCGGGAGGCGGTGGCTTGGGGCCTTACTGCGGCGCCTGCATTCTCTGACTCTTTTGGCCCCTCTGACTCTGGCCCCACGGGGGTAGGTGGTGGACGCCCTGTAGCCAGGAGGGCTGTATGCCTAGGTCGCTGGGGTCCCCAGAGCTGGACTGTGACTGGAGGGTGGATCTGAAGAGTTGGCTGTGGATCGGGAAAGTGGCCGCCATAGGGCCCTGTGGGGTCCGCTGAGAAGTTACTAAACAGGTCCTTGAGGGCAGGACAGGCTCGCGTCCTGATTTGTCTTTGTAACCTCAGCGCCCTGGTTGGTTGAGTGAAGAATGAGTGAATGTGTGCGTGATTGGACTTAAGTCTCAAACTGGACCTAGGCACACTCAGTAGAGCTAGGTACACTCGTTTCCTAACAGATCTCAATGGCCTCAGCTTCTGCAGTACTTCCTTTAATAAATATTCAGTGCTTGCAGCAGCGAGAAGCAAGGGCTACTCTCAGGACTGAACTGGAAGAAGGCACACGGGCTTGAAACCAGGTAGCTTCCTAGTGACACACCCTACTGAGAAGTAAAATGAAGGGATGTGGTAGGGGTGGAGAAAGGACAGACCTGTCCTGGGGGAGAGTATTCCAGGCCGAGGTCTAGCCCAAGGGAAGGCTCAGCACAGAAATGCACTTGCTGCATGAGATTCATGGACCAGAAAGTGTGTTGTGGGGGAAGGAAGCTGTCTGCCAGTGTAGAAGGGGCTAGGACGACAGGATCACTAGGACTCCGGGCCCTCTTCCTCTGTTGCCACTGCCACTCCAGCTTCCAGATGCCGTCCAAATATCCTGAGCCTAGTATCTAAAGCCTTTCTTAATGTGATGTCAACCTACCTTTCTGGTCCTTGACTCATTTACTGTAGCTAGATTTTTGATTCTTGCCAAATTAACCCACTTGAAAACAAACAACCAAATTAACCCTCTTGTTAGCTGCTGTACACACCATATATGTTTTCACGTTATAGCTGTCCTTTTACTTTTTTCTTTTCAGTATTTGAACCCACGGCCTTCACACTGAACTACATCTCCAGGCATTTGAATTGGTGTTTTGTTTTGAAATTTTAAGACAGGGTCTAAGTTACTAAATTGCCCAGGCTGGACTCACACTGTTGATCCTCCTCTCTCAACCTCGAAGACTGCGAGAATTACAGGCGTGCACCACTATGTCCAGCTAAATTTTGTTCTGTACTTTTTTTTTTTTTTTTTTGGTACCAGTCATCAAACTAGGGACCTTGCGCTTATGTGGCAGGTGCTTATGCCTCTGAGTTACCTCCCTGGCTATTTTTTTTTTAAATCAAAGTAATGTATGTACATAACCAAATAGTACTGAAAGTTTTAACAGAAACAAGAATCCACTTCCATTTTTTTTTCTTCACCTCCATAACACTTTTTAGTTCATATTACTAGTTTTTGATTTGTGAATTCTAAACATTACCTATTCATTTCTGGCTTTGATTACTAATGAGCTCTTTTTATTTTTTTGAGACAAGAGTCTTGCTGTGCAGTTTGGGCTGGCCTTGTGCTTATTTTTGTAGACTCCAGGCCAGTCTCAAACGTCCACTGATCCTCATGTCTCAACCTTTCCAGTGCTGGGATTACAAGTGTGCACTACCATGCCCGGTTCTTCTCTACTTCTCTTCTCAAATTTTTTTGGTACTGGGAATCAAGTTTGCCAGGCAGGTGCTTGTGCCTGCTGAGCTGTATCCCGAGCACCCTCACGCTTTTATTTTATTTTATTTTAATACCTGAGAGATTGAACTCGGGACCTTGTGCTTGCCAGGCAGGCATTTATGCCACTGAGCTATCTCCTCAACCCCCTACTCTCTTAAAATACTGAAGTCACACCTTTTGATTAAATGTAATCTCAGAATTGCTATTGCTGCTGTATTTTATGTTTGTTTGTTGAGACAGGGTCTTGCTTTCTAGTCCAGGCTGGACTTGAACTCATGGTGATGCTCCTGCCTTAGCCTCCCTAGTGCTGAGATAGCAGACATGCTCCACTGTGCCCAGGTGCCATTATTCTTACTATGAGTACTGTAAATGTACATTGTTCACCCATTAGAAATAATGTTTTGTTTAGAGACAAGGTCTTGCTATGTAGCCCAGGCCGGCCTCAAATTCACAGCCAGCCTCCTGTGTCAGGCTAAGCACTAGGACCTTTACATGAGCTACATCCCCAGCCCCCATTATTATTATTATTTTTAAGGTAAGGGTCTATAGGGTGTTCAGGGTCTCACTACTAGATCGAGTCATCCACCTGTTTACAGTCTCCCAAGAGCTGGGATCACAGGTACGCACCACCACTCTGTCTCAATTGCTGTCTCAGCATGCTCTGGGGGTGGGGCCAGCACAGCAGGCCCAGAGATTTAATCTGCTGAGCTATATGGCCAGCCCTCAAATAATTATTGAATAATACCCTATTATTTTATTTTCTGTAGCTTATTTGATGTTAGACTATTTTTTGAGACAAGGTTTAACTATGTAGTCTAGGCTGGCCTTGAAATCACAGCAATCCTACTGTCTCAGCCTCTTGAGTGCTGGGATTGCAAGCATATACCACCACTTGTGGCTGACAGATTTTTTTATAGAATCGGGGATTGAACTCAGGCCCTTGGGCTTGCCAGGGAAGTGCTTATTCTACTGAACCCATCTCCCTGGTACCTGATGACAGATTTTAGAATTCTCATTTCTCCCCTCTGCTCTCCTTTTCCTTTTTTGAGGGTCTATCTGTTGTCCAACTGCCTTACCTCAAACTTGGGATCCCTTAGCTCAGCCTTGGATGTTGCAATTATAAGCATGTGTTACATGCTCAGTTGATCCTTGATTTTGTTATCCATTTCTCCTCTATCATCCATTACCTTTTATTTTGCAGTACTGGAGATTGAATCAGGACCTTCCTCTTGCCAGGCAGGTGGTTATGCCACTGAGCTATTTTCCTGGCCCAATAATTTTACCTTGCTGCAATCTTATTGAAGTTTTCTAACCATTTACTCATCAAACTTATTTATAATCATTTAGAATTTTTTGGCGGAACCTGGGATTGAACTCAGGCCCTTGTGCTTGCCAGGCAAGTGCTTATTCTACTGAGCCATCTCCCCAGCCCTTCACTACAGTTTGGACTCTTAGTGATCCTCCTGTTTTCAGCCTCCCAAGTGCTGGGATTATAGGGGCATGCCACCACACCCAGTCTCCCATTCCCTAAATTTTTTTTTCCATAATTATATTGAGACTAATAGCAATGAGACAGTTTCAAAGCAAATTGGTATGACAGTTTCAATAATTAACACATTGCATACTCTTTTCCTAGTGGTTATTTGTTATACAAGATGCGGACATGATATGCTATTTACAAATACTATTACAACAAATCCCTTTATTCATTAAGAGAATGTAACTATATATCTACCCTAACCATTTTGAATACACAGATACATAAATGGACATTCATCTGTATCCCTTTTTGTTTAGTTCCGTCATTTGAATATCATAGGTGTGTTAACTCAGCAAAATATTCTAAGAGTCCAGTAGTCCATAATAGTACTGGGGCTTCCTCTTGACTGGCAGTGTCAGAAACTGTTGACCCGAGATCCCTACAGCTCAACATAACAGCATGGCTTTACTTCTTATACTTTGTTTTTATACTTTTCTGCTGGATGGTTAAGACCAAGGTAAAGCA